TTGAACTTTACACTTAAGATTTTTTCATTTATTGGTAGACATTATCTCCCAATTTAAAAGTAATAATAAATTGGAGCAAAAAACACAACCCATTGAACTTAGAATACTAAATTCCAAGCTGGGTGTGATGGTGCACATCTGTAGTCCCAGCTACTCCGAAGCCTGAGACAAGAGAATCGCTTGAGTCCAGGAGTTCCAGGCTGCATCGATGCAGTGAGCTACAATCATGCCACTGCATTCTATCATGGGTGACAGTCACAACCCATCTCCAAACGAAAAAAAGAAAAAGAAAAGAAAAGGAAGAAGAAGAGGAAAGAGAGGAAGGAGAGGAAAGAAAGGAAAGAGAGGAAGAAGAGGAAGGAAAGGAAGAAGAAGAAGAAGGTCCAAAACCTTCATGGTAGCTCACATGGCCTTTTAAGATCTGACCATACCCACCTCTATAGCCCCATCTTGCTATCTCTCCCTGACATTCCAGTTTCATTCGTCTTCACGTGATAGTTATCATGTGCTAAGAGAATTGTAACTTGCCCAAGATCACGTGTTGACAAGTGGTAGAGGTGGGCCCAATCTGAACCTCATTACCCTGCCTCTAAAAATTAGTGGGGTGTAGATGTATACTGTAGTGTGTTTTAACCAAAATAACAATTTAGGCACTTACAAAAGGTCCTTGGGGTAAATAACAGAGGCACTCAGAAGTGTATGATGTCTTAATTTGCTGATTTAATAAGCATAGTTATCTCTCGATGACACTGGTGATGCTAAATGTGGCCTTCCCTGCATCTGTGTTTTTATTTTTAGGTCTGCTTCTACAGGATTTGAGCTACTTGAGGACAGGAGTAAATGCTACTTCAGCTCTTTATTCGCACAATCCCCTAACACTTTCCTAGGAAGCATTCAGTAAAGGTGTTTAGGAGACTAATATTCATTCTTTCTCTCAAATGCTTCCTCTTTATTCCATTCACCCTACTATTGCTTTGGTTCAGGCCTTTTTGGTTCGTTTGCTTTTTTGAGACGGAATCTTGCTCTATCCCCAGGCTGGAGTGCAGTGGCACAATCTTTGCTCACTGCAATCTCTGCCTCCCAGGTTCAAGCAATTCTTCTGCCTCAGCCTCCTGAGTAGCTGGGATTACAGGTGTGTGTCACCACACCCGGCTAATTTTTGTATTTTTAGTAGAGATGGGGTTTCACCATGTTGGCCAGGTTTGTCTTGAACTCCGACCACCTCTAACTCCCAAAGTGCTGGGATTACAGTCATGAGCCACCACAGCTGACCAATGCAGGCCTTTTCATTGCTCCCCTGGAGCTTAGCCACACATCCTGCCCCTGGCCGTATGACCAGTCCTGGAAGTGACCCCAACACTGTCACAAAAGCCTTCCCTTCATGATTCCCCTTTGTCCACACAGAAAGGTCTAAACTGAACCAAGCCTTCTTCTCCAGACCCACCACCCTTCTGTACTACAGGCACTGGGACTCCCCAGCACCTTGGGTGGAGCAAGCCCTTTTACAGTCTAAATCATGTCTTCTTTACCTGGAAAACCCCTACTCATCTGTTAGAACCTGACATAGTTTGGATATTTGTCGCTACCCAAATCTCATGTTAAATTGTGATCCCCAATGCTGGGGCGTGGGGCCTGGTGGGAGGTTTGGATCATGGGGGCAGATCGCCCATGCCTTGGTGCTGTCTTTGTGAGTTCACATGAGATCTGGTCATTTATTTTTTAATATTTTATTTTCAAGACAGTCTTGCTCTGTCGCCCAGACTAGAGTTCAGTGGCGTGATCTCAGCTCAATGCAACCTCCACCTCCTGCGTTCAGGTGATTCCCCTGCCTCAGCCCCCTGAGTAACTGGGACTACAGGCACCTGCCACCATGACCGGCTAATTTTTTCTTTTTTTGAGACAGAGTCTCACTCTGTCGCCCAGGCTGGAGTGCAGTGGTGCAATCTTGGTTTGCTGCAACCTCTGTCTCCCAGGTTCAAGCGATTCTCCTGTCTCAGCCTCCTAAGTAGCTGGGATTATAAGCACATGTCACCACGCCCAAATAATTTTTGTAGTTTTAGTAGAAACAGGGTTTCACCATGTTGACCAGGCTGGTCTCGAATTCCTGACCTCAGGTGATCTGCCTGCCTCAGCCTCCCAAAGTGCTGGGATTACAGGCATGAGCCACCATGCCCAGCCCAAGTATTTCCTTATAGCAATGTGAGAATGGCCTAAAATGGAACCCAAATGTGATGCTGTTCTTATTCATTCATGCATTCATTCAATATGCTGTTGTGTCCAGCTGTTGGAAATGCAATGGAGAAGAAAAACTTCAGCTCAGAGCGCTTGGTGCTGGAGTTGGGGGCAGGGGGGTGGGCATTGAGAGAAAGAGAGTTTGTACTCTTAAATAATCAAAAGTATTTGGAGCCAGGCACAGTGGCTCATGCCTGTAATCCCAACACTTTGGGAGACTGAGGCAGGGGGATTGCTTAAGATCAGTTTGAGACCAGCCTCAGAAACAAAATGAAACACTGTCTCTACTAAAAAAAAAAAAAAAAAAAAATTAGCTGGGCATGATTGCCTGTAGTCCTCGCTACTTGGGAGGCTTAGGTGGGAGGATTGCTTGAGCTCAGGAATTCAAGGCTTCAGTGAGCTTTGATCCTGCCACTGCCTTCCAGCCTGAGTGACAGAGAAAGACTCTGTCTCTAAAATAAATAATAATAATATTCGGGCTGATTTACATGGGAGATGAGAACTGGTAAGCTAAGAGATTAGAGACCTAAGCAGCGTCCAGATCAGGGGGCCTTATGATTATGATATTAACAGCTAACATTCATGAGCACTTACTATATGTGGAGTACTACTTACGTGCTTTACATGCATTAAGTTTTATCCTCAGAACAACTGTATACAGTAGGAGCTATTATCATTATCTCACTTATCTCATTGTCTCATTTTGCCTCATCTAGGGCAAAGAGAGGTTAAATAGGTCATTCAAGGTCATATAGCCAGTAAGTAGCAAACCCGGGACCTAGGCCCCAGAGTCCTTAATCATGATGACCAGGCTGTGCCCCGCCATGACATTAAACTGAGGACAGCGAAGGAAAACTTTGTGAGGCTAGGACAGTCCAGGCGTGGTGGCTGATGTCTGTAATACCAGCACTTTGGGAGGCCAAAGCAGATCACTTAGGAGTTTGAAATCAGCCTGGCAAACATGGTGAAACCCCGTCTCTACTAGAAATACAAAATTAACTGGGCATGATAGCATAGTCCTGTAATCCCAGCTACTCAAAAGGCTGAGGCAGAATCACTTGAGCCTGGGAGGCAGAGGTTTCAGTGAACGAGATTGCACCATTGCACTCCAGCCTGGGTGAGAGAGTAAAACTCTGCTTCCAGGGAAAAAAAAAAAGGCTCGGCTCACGCATTACAGGGGCCTCTGGCGCACACCTTGACCCCTCCCCGCCATTGCCAGCAGGTGCCTTGTGCGCATACCTTGCCGCACCGATCCGTTAATGTGTCGCGTGTTTGTGCGCGAGACTCTCCCTCCAGTACCTATTTCGCGCGCCCCGCCCCGGCCCATTTTTCCGCGGTTGTCAGCAGGTGCCTTGTGCGCGTGTCTTCCCACGCCAGTTCGTTAAGGTTCCGGGTCTTTTGTACTCCCCTCACCTCCAGTACCTATTGCACGCTATGCCCCCCCACCCAACCACCGCGCCACCAATCTCTCAGTTGTCAGCAGGCGCTTCACGTGCACACCTTGACCCCTCCGTCGCCATTGCCAGCAGGTGCCTTGAGCCCATACATTGCCCCCTCCGCCGCCATTGCCAGCACGTGCCTTGTGCTCATACATTGCCCCTCCGCCGCCATTGACAGCAGGCGCCTCTCGCGCACACCTTGACCCCTCCCCGCCGTTGCCAGCAGGTGCCTTGTGCGCATACGTTGCCGCACCGAGCCGTTAATGTCTCGCGTGCTTTGAGCGCGTGCCTCTCCCTCCAGTACCTATTTCACGCGTCCCGCCCCGGCCCCTCCATTTTCCCGCGGTTGTCAGCAGGTGCCTTGTGCACGTGTCTTGCCACGCCAGTTCGTTAAGGTTCCGGGTCTTTTGTGCTTGCCTCTCCTCCAGTATCTATTGTGTGCGATGCCCCCCACACCACCACCGCGCCCCCAATCCTACAGTTGCCAGTAGGCGCTTCGCGCGCACACCTTGACCCCTCCGCCGCCATTGTCAGCAGGCGCCTTGTGCCCATACCCTGCCCCCTCCGCCGCCACTGCCAGCAGGTGCCTTGTGCCCATACATTGTTCCCTTCGCCGCCATTGCCAGCAGGCCCATTGTGAGCCTACATTGCCCCCTCTGCCGCCATTGCCAGCAGGTGCCTTGTGCGCATACCTTGCTGCACTGATCTGTTAATGTCTCGCGTGCTTTGTGCGCGTGCCTCTCCCTCCAGTACTTATATCGCGCCCCGCCCCAGCCCCATCAATTTCCCGCCGTTGCCAGCAGATGCCTTGTGAACGTGTCTTGCCACGCTAGTTCGTTGAGGTTCCGGGTCTTTTGTGCTCGCCTCTCCTCCGGTACCTATTGCGCGCGCTGCCCCCCCCCCCCACCACCACCTCGCCCCCAATCCTGCAGTTGCCAGCAGGTGCCTTGTGCACGTACCTTGCAGCGCCAATCCATTAAGGTCCCAAGTCCTTAGTGCGCGCGTCTCTCCCTCCAGTACCTATTGTGCCGCGAGGCCCTTTCCCCCTCCCGCCATTGCCAGCAGGTACCTTGAGCGCGTACCTTGCCACACCAATCCTTTCAGGTCCGGAGTCCTTTGTGTGCGCGCCTCTCCTTTTAGTACCTATGGTGCGCACCCCTCTACCCCCCAGGGCCCTGACTCCCGTCATTGCCCGCAGGTGCCTCATGCACATACCTTGCACACACACCCCCCTCCTCCCCCCGCCCCACCATTGCCAGCACGTGCCTCTCGCGAAGGGTTTGCACCACTCCCCCCACCGCATTGTCCGCAGGTGCCTGGTGTGCATACCATGTCGCGCGAGTCCCTGAAGGTCGTCCTGGCGTGGATCTTTCACTTGCGCCCGTTTTTGCACGCGCCCCCACTCACGCAGGTTTGAAAGATGCGTTGCCCGGCAACAGGAGAAACTGCTAGCTTAGTCTTTAGCCGAGTTGGCAGCTAGAAGACGACGCTCAGAGCCCAGCTCTCGAGAGTTCAAGCATCTGAAAGTTCCCCACTGCTCCTAGAAGGGGCTAGCTGGGCACTCTGTGCCCCTTATCCCTGTCCCGGCCTGAGTGCCGAGGGCCTGCCAGTAGGGCTCAGTTGCCTTGAGCCCGCTCTCCCCATCCCTCCGTTCACCTTGCTTGTGGGATCTCCTCCTTGCTGTGTCAAAACAACTTCAAGAAGGTTTTCCAGTGATTCTGCCTCTGCCTTCAATTTGGATGCACAGGTACCACAGCAAGCTTCCAATTCCACACAAAAACTCTCTGTGGGGCCCAGAAGCAGGGAGTCACCCCTTTGGGGCCTACAACACCCAGCTGAGGCCCAGACTCCTGTCCAGAGGAGATCGTGTTGAGAGCCCACAGGTAGAGTGAGGCAGTGATGCCTGAGCAGGACAAGGACCCCAGAGTCCAAGAGAGTCTGGATGGTGAAAAAAAGGGGTCCCGAGGGCACCAGGGATGCATGGTCTGCATTTAGGCCTGTACGGGATAATGGAGACCCCTTGCCCTTAGTGCCCAGGCCCAGGCCTCTGCAGAGAGACCTCCATGCCCAGAGGTCAGATGTCAGACATGAACAGAGATCCCAGCCTTGCAGGATGAGCCCCTGCCACAAAAGAAATGCCATTTCCAGCTCCTACAGCTGCACAGGAGGCTTCCCGTGGCTAAAGAGGAGGAGAGGGCCAGCCTCATCCCACTGCCATGTGACCCTCAGTTCCTCAAAGACAGTGAGTGAGGACAACTCTCAGGCTGTCTCTCAGGCTGTCATTCATACCCAGGGTGAAAAGGCAGCAGATGCACCACCAGGGGAGAAACTGGCCCCCAGGAATGGCTCCCCCACATATCAGGAGTCTAGGCCTTGTAGAAGAAAGTTTCCTCTGCTGCCACGGAGGTGAGGGGAACCTCTGATGCTGCCACCTCCCTTAGAGCTGGGGTTCCTGGTCACTGCTGAAGACCTGGACCTGGAGAAGGAGGCAGCGCTCCGGTGCATTAATAATGCACTGCGGGGTGAGGCCAAGGCCATCTAGGACTGTAGGGGCCCCGAGGGGACCAGGGATGCACAGTCTGCATTTAGGCCCTTACAGGATAATGGAGACCCCTTGCCCTTAGTGCCCGGGCCCGTACCTCTGCAGACAGACCTCCATGCCCAGAGGTCAGAAGGCGGATATGACCAGAGATCCCAGCCTTGCAGGATAAGCCCCTGCCGCAAAAGAAATGCCATTTCCAGCTCCTACAGCTCCATGGGAGGCTTCCCATGGCTAAAGAGGAGAAGGGGGCCAGACTCATCCGACTGCCATGTGACCCTCAGTTCCTCACAGTCAGTGAGTGAGGACAACTCACAGGCTGTCTCTCAGGCTGTCATTCACGCCCAGGGTGAAAAGGCAGCAGATGCACCACCAGGGAAACTGGACCCCAGGAATGGCTCCCCCACATCTCAGGAGTCTAGGCCTCATAGAAGAAAGTTTCCTCTGCTGCCACGCAGGCAAAGGGAGCCTCTGATGCTGCCACCTCCCTTACAGCTGGGTTACCGGGTCACTGCTGAAGACATGGACCTGGAGAAGGAGGCAGGGATCCAGTGCATTAATAGTGCACTGCAGGGTGAAGTCAAGGCTATCCGGGACTGTAGAGCCTCACAGCCTTCACAAGCTTTGTCCTCACCTGCAACAGGGTCTTCTCCACCTGCTGTCCCTAAAGTACCCAGCATGGATGCACATCAGCAGACTCACAAGTCCCAACAGTACCTGGGCCACCTGTCCCTCCTAGCATCTGCTGCAGGGGACCCCTCTAGACCTGCTGTGTCTGGGAGGAAGCGCCGCTCATCAGGCCCCCTGTTCTCCTAAGATCCCCTTCCTGACACCTCTTCACAATCCCGGGACACAGCCCAGGTCACCTCGCTGATTCCTGCCCCCTTCCCAGCTCCACGTGCGGACTGCAGCCTGAGAAGCCCAAGGCCTGGCACTTCTGCTGCTGCAGCTGCCGCAGGGGCCCTTACCCCCTCTACATGGAACCCTTCATGGGGGGTCCCACCGAGTGGAGGGCAAAGAGGCCCCTCACATCCCTGGGCCTCAGCCACAGCTGCAGCAGGTGCCCAGTCTGCCTTTCCTGCCTCTCCCAGCAGCAAAAGGATGAAATCCCCAACCCCAATGTGTGTGCATTTCCCTGTCCCCTTCACACAGGGACCCCTTGTTTCCACTGACCCTCTCTCTCCTGGTCTGCAGATTGCTGTATCTGGATCTGGTTCCAGTTCTGCAGCCAGCACATCTGCTAACCTGGCACCCAAGGCAGCAAGTGACTCTGAGGTTACCCCCTTAGATACAGTCCCTTTTCCCAGCCTCTCTTTCTGGGGCCTCCTGCAGGCTCCAGTGTAAGCTTCCTCCAATCTCCTCAGGCCCATCTGATGCGCCTCAGGCACAGCACGTCCTCAGGAAAGGACACCAGCAGCCCAGCAGGATGAAGGGTCTGTGGTCCCACTCCAGTACCAAAACTTCCTGTTACCGCAGTAGCCACAGTCCAGCCCAAACTTGTGGTCCTTCATGGGCAGCAGCAGGGAACCCGCACCTCGAAGCACTCTCTTTTGTCTTCCCAACTGGCAGCTCCAGCTGCAGCCCCAGCCTCATCTGCTCCAAGACAGCCAGCCCAGGGCACCACAGCACACTCAGCTGCAGGGGTCTTATTACCTACCACTTGCACCTTGGGTCTCCTGGCCAGAAGCAAGTGGGCCTGGCTGCCGGCTCAGCTGGGTCCCTTCCCGAGGCATCCGCTGCCTCTGCCTGTGAGGTGCATGCTGCCTCCTCACACGGTGCCTCTGCCAAAATTAGGTGGCTCTGCTAAATGTTGAAAGCAGGGCCCAGCCCCCTCGACACTGGTGGTTTCTGCAACACAAACGGGCCTGGGGAGCAGAGAGGCAGCCCCAGCTCTGAGTTCCAGAAATGCATCCCTCAGCAGCAAAGTGGCAAAGAGAAAGGCCCTGAGCACCACACACAGCAAGGGGGTTTGAGGGGGCCTGAACACCAGGGGACCCCCAACCAGGCAGAGCACCCACATGGTGACCGGGAGAGGCAATACAAGGAGCAATTCTATTGGCTGGCACTTTTGTCTTTCCTTTCTGTCGTATTTCTGGGGGACCATTTAAGCAGTCACCCCCGATTGCAAGGCAGGGACCCAGTGCCACTGCAAAACAAGGCAGGCTTTGGGTGCAAGTCTGGGCCGGCTTCTGACCCTGGCAACCCCACTGCCCACGTGGGCACAGCAAGGAGGAACCTGGCCTGTAAGGCTTCCTCGTGCGCTGTCCAGGGTTCTGCTGGACACGGGTCTGCTGGGCCATCCTCCAGCTCATCCTTTTTTAGGTCGGGCTTTTGAGGTCTTCCTCATCGATTCCTTGCCTGGAGTGAAGTCCACAAGAGTTTTATCTTGGTTTTCCTCTAACATTTTTGTAGTTTCATATCTTACATTCAAGTCTTGGATGTATCCAGAGGTGATGTTTGTATATGGTGAGAGATAGGGGTCCAGTTTCATTCTTCTGCATGCGGCTATCCAGCCCTCCCAGTGCCATTCATTGAAGAGGGCGTCCTTTCCTCTGAGTGTTTCTGTCGGCTCTGTTGAAGATCAATTGCTGTGAATATGTGGCTGTCTTTCTGGGCTCTCTCATGTGTCTGTCCCATTGATCTATGTGTCTATTTTCATGCTATGATCATGCTGTTTTACTTACCACACACTTGTCAAAATTTTTGTTGTTCTAATTTGTAGTAAAATGGGATGCCTCTAGTTTCTTTTTCTATTTGCTGAGGATGACTTTGGCTCTTTGAGCTCTTTTGGTTCCATATGAATTGTAGAATTTCCCAGTTCTGTGAGTGATGACATTGGTATTTTGGTAGGGGTTGTATTCAATCTCTAGACTGCTTTGGGCAGTATGGTCATTTTAATGCTATGAATTCCTTCCATCCATGAGCACGGGATGATTGCCCATTTCTTTGTGTCCTCTTAAACTTTTTCATCAGTGTTTTGTAGTTTTCCTTGTAGAAATCTCATACCCCCTCGATAGAATTCATTCTGTGGCATAACGTTTTTCATTTTGCTGCTATTGTAAATGGGATTGCCTTTTTAATTTCTTTCCCAGTTAGACCATTATTGGTGTATAGAAATGCTGATTTTTCTATGTTGATTCTTTATCCTGCTAATAACTGTATTTAGTTATCAAGTCTAGGAGTTTTCTGGTGGAGCCTTTACATGTTTCTAAATCCAGGATCACATCTTCATCAGACAAAGATAATTTGATGTCCTTGTTTCCATGACTTGGGTTATGCAAGGCTCTGCCTGTCAGCTGGCTATCGGGGACCAGCTCTCTTCCAGTGAGAACGCCCAAGCTCTTACACCCCTGCCCCGGGTGTGACCGTGCTCCCTCCCAGAAGTGACCTCCAACCTGATCCTCCTCCCCGTCTTGTGGCATCTGCTCTGGGGAAGGGCATTTTGGCCTCAAGGGCTGAGAGTGTCATTCCGTTTTCTGTTGATCTTTCCAGAGCTGTCTGGGAGAGCCTGTGCATTAGTTCATGTACTGTTTCTATGGAGGCAATCACGGCTTTCTTTCAGGGCTGGATATAAAAGTTCTTGTGAGGCTTCTGTATAAACTCTGCCTTCACCACATGGATAGGACCAGCACGCTTCCACTACACGACTCTGCAATCTGCCTTTATTTATTTATTTATTTTTTTACCAGGGCTTCAGACATAGATGGTTGTTTGACATTTATGTATTTTTTTGAGACAGAGTCTCACTCTGTCACCCAGGCTGAAGCATAGTGGCGGGATCTCGGCTCAATGCAAGCTCCGCTCCTGGGTTCAAGTAATTCTCCTGTCTCAGCCTCCCGAGTTTCTGGGACTGTAGGCACACGCCACAACTCCCAGCTAATTTTTATATTCTTAGTAGAGACCTGGTTTTGCTATATTGGTCAGGTTGGTCTCGAACTCCTGACCTCAGGTGATATATTTGCCTCAGCCTCCCAAAGTGCTGGGATTACAGGTGTACATTAATTAATTCATTTATTTGTTAGGGAGTCTTGCTCAGTGGGCCAGGCTAGAGTGCAGTGCTGCATTCTAGACTCACTGCAACCTCCGCCTCCTCGGTTCAAGTGATCTCCTGCCTCAGCATCCTGAGCAGCTGGGGTTACGGGCACCTGCCACTGTATGTAGCCAATTTTTGTATTTTTAGTAGTCATGGGGTTTCATTATCTTGGCCAGGCTGGTCTTGAACTCCTGACCTTGTGATCCACCCTCCTTGGCCTCCCAAAGTGTTGGGATTACATGGGTGAGCCACCACCCCTGGCCACATTTGTTTATTTGTTTAGAGACAGGGTCTCCCTTGGTCACTTAGGCTGGAGCGCAGTGGCACCATTTCAGCTCACTGCAGTCTCTGCCTCTGGGGTTCAAGTGATTCTCATGCTTCAGCCTCCTGAGTAACTGGGACTACAGGTGTGACACCATGCAGGGACAATTTTTTCTAGAGATGGGGTTTCACCATATTGGTCAGGCTGGTCTCAAACTCCTGACCTCAGGTGATCTGTCTGCCTTGTCCTCTCAGAGTACGAAGATTATAGGTGTGGGCCACTGTGCCTGGTCTCTCACTAGGTTTAAATGATGCAGTGGCTCATGCCTGTAATCCCATCACATTGGGAGGCCAGGGCAGGCAGATCACCTGAGGTCAGGAGTTCGACACCACCCTGGCAACATAAGGAAACCTCATCTCTACTAAAAACACAAAAATTAGCCAGGTGTGATGGCGTGAGCCTGTAGTCCCAGCTACTTGAAAGCTGAGGCAGGAGAATCAGTTTAACCCGGTAGGCAGAGGTTGCAGTGAGCCAAGGTTGTGTCATTGCACTAGAGCCTCGGTGACAGGGTGAGACGCCATTTCAAAAAAAAAAAAAGGGTAAAATACATGCTGCCTGGATATCTCGGTCTGAGTGCCTGCATGAGCACAGCAATGTACAGGCCAGGGCTGCTGGTCGAGGGCAGGTCCCATCTTGTCCAGCAGAAAGGGAGTGAGCTTTCGGGGAGGCTGGAGAACAAGATTCCAGGATCTCAGCCTCTGCTCATAGATCAGCTCTGAGACCCCAAGTGAGCTGGGGGTGCTCTGTGTGCCTTGGTTTCCTCAGCTATCAAGTAGAGAGATTGGATGAGGAAGTCTCTTAAAGGTGGAATGAACTCAGATTTGGGGCGAAATGAATGGTCCTGCTCCCTGGTGTTGGTGACACTATTAAACAGGGCTGTGGAGAGAAGCTGAGAAGGGTCACATTGCAGGCAGGGGCCTGTGTGACAAGCCCCTCTCACCCCGAGAGAGCTGACCAGGCAGCTCAGGAACAGAGTCACCTCCTGGGAGACTGAGAAAGGTCCTGGCTGGGCTCAGCAACCCCATTGGCCATGGTAGGCTTTGCCGTGTGAGCCTTGCTCACCTGCGGAGGCTCAGGCTGACAGCTGATGTGGACAGTGCTGAGGGTAAACCTGTGGCACAGTAGACGTGGCCAGGTCTCCTCAAGCTGCACTCACCCAAGTAGGACCCAGGCTGCATGCCCATCTCCAGCCCATGGCAGCTCTCCTGTAAGCTGGACAGGCTTCTGAGGGCAAGACGATAGGCAGCTGAGAATACCCAGGGCCCACGCACAGGTGGTGGAAAGGCTGGACTCAGCAGCAACACCAAACCACCAAACCCCAGACCAAGCAGAAACCACCCGAGACCAGGGGCTCGTACCAGAGTAGTGGCCGCAGGTAAGAACCCGGGCCCAGGCTGTGTGTGGCGGGAGTCCTCCCTGTCCCAGGGCCCAGTACAGCAAAGGAGCATCAGCCGGGTCATCCTGGCAGCGGTCTGTCCCGGATCCACCTGCAGGGGCAGAAAAGCCTCTCCCAAGGGGGGATCGTCTCTCTCCAGCAAAACAACAGTGGTCCCTGCCCTAATCACACTGCCCGACTCAGTGGAGTTACTGCTGCTGCTCCAGTGTCCTAACACTGTCCAGCCGGCACCTGCCTGTGCTCATCCACACCCCCCAGGCCTGCCTTCCCTGTGGCGTGTGCTTGGCCACCTTGGCCTGATTGAGCACTGAGGCCTCCTGGGCACCCAGCCCATCACTGCACCTGCGTTTTCCAGCCCCCACCCCACTGGCTCAGGGGTTCCACCCAGCAGTGCTAATAATGAAATCAACAAGAATGCAAGTGGTGTCAGAGAACTTTAATGAAAGGCAGTTCTTTCCCCCACGGTGCTGTGCAGGTGGCTGAGCTCATATTGCTGCTGCTAAGACACCAGCCACTTACAGAGAGAAAGCGAGGCTGCTTCAAACCCAGGGCCTGATGCAGAAAAGCATCACTTCTGGTCAGGGAGTCTGGCAGCCATGCCTTGTGGGAGGTCACACTGGCACCCAGGCCTCTGTCTGCGTTGCAGGGGGAGAACTGGGTCCCTTCCTGGAGAACGCTGCATTTCCCAGCCCCGTACCAGCTTTGCCTCTGCACAGGCTTTTGAGCCAGAAGGCAGGTAAGTGACACACCTCAAGTCCTAAAGCCATCATCATTCCTGGAACCCAGTGGGGGAGGATCCTTTTTAGAACATGGAAAGTGTGGTCATCCCATCATTAGACAGCACACATCGTACATAAATAAAAGTCGCATGGGGATGCAGGTAGGGGGGAAACGAAAATTGGCACAGACATCGATAGATTGCTTTCCAGTTTCAAGGCGGCAGATGCACATCATGAGACCAGAGGAGACAGAGGCCAGTGCTGGATTTAGCTTTTCTAAGCCACGTGTTCCCTTGCAGGGCTGGAGGGTCGCAGAGACAGACAGAGATGGAAGCCAGGACAGGGGAGCCCACTGGGCCCAGAAAGGTACAGAGGGCAGAGAGGCTCCTGTTCTGTCTTCCCCACCCAGCAGGGCAACTCTTCTTGCAAACGGTGGCTGTGCCCTCCCAGCAAGAAAAAAGCACAACTAAATCCACACCACACACAGATGCAGACAGAAAACCTTCCTGTGGCTCTGTTTTCTGCTCCCAGACTTGCCAGGTCCACGAGCAGAGAAGTGTGAGGCACACAACCCTGCTGTCAGGCTCCCCGAGGTGCTGCGGGCTCAGCAGGAGCTGCCCATCCACACACAGGGGACACCCACTCCTCCGACCTTGGGAGAGGTTGCCGGACAGAGCCGCGCTGGGTGCTGGCATCATCCTGGGACCCCACACACTTTCCTGAGTGCGATCCCACTTTCCTCCTCTGGGAAGATGCATCCTCTTCATCAAACAGCCATGTGACCATGTCAGAAGTCACATAAGACAAGAAATCCTAGCCTTCTGGGATGAGCCTTGGCCCCAGAAAGACATGCCATTTCCAGCTCCTACAGCTCCATGGGAGGCTTCCCGTGGCTAAAGAGGAGAAGGCAAGCCTCAACCCACTGCCATGTGACCATGATAGAAGTCACATATGACAAGAAATACCAGACTTCTGGTATGAGCCCTGGCCCCCCAAAAAAAGAAACACACCATTTCCAGCTCCTACAGCTCCACGGGAGGCTTCCCTTGCATACAGAGGAGGAGGGGGCCAGCCTCATCCCACAGCCATGTGACCATGTCAGAACTCACATAAGAAAAGGAATCCCACCCTTCTGGGATGAGCCCCAGCCCAACAAGAAATGCCATTTCCAGCTCCTGCGGCTCCACAAGAACCTTCCTGTGGCTAAAGAGGAGGAGGGGGCCGGCCTCAACCCACTGCCATGTGACCATGTCAGAAATCACATAGGACAAAAAGTCCCAGCCTTCTGGGATGAGCCCTGACCCCCCAAAAAACTCCATTTCCAGCTCCTACAGCTCCACGGGAGGTTTCCATGAATAAAGAAAAGAAGGGGGCCAGCCTCATCCCAAAGCCATGTGACCATGTCAGAAGTCACATAAGACAAGAAATCCCAGCCTTCTGAAATGAGCCGTGGCGAAAAAAAAAAAAAAAAAAAAGGCCTTTCCAGCTCCTACAGCTCCACGGGAGCCTTCCCATGGCTAAGGAGGAGGAGGGGGCCAGCCCCATCCCACTGCCATGCCGAGATGGCAGCTAGAAGACGACGCTCAGAGCCTAGATCTCGAGATATGAAGCATCTGAAAGTACCCCACTGTTCACAGAAGGGGCTACCTGGGCACTCTGCCCCTTATCCCTGTCCCAGCCCGAATGCCAAAAACCTACCAGTAGGGCTCAGTTGCCTGGACCCTGCTCTCCCCATCCCTCCATTCACTTTGCTTGTGGGAACCCCTCTTTGCTCCTGCCCCTGGGTGGAGTGGCAGGTCATCCTACAAGTGCCCTGACACTTGGAATCACACTGTGTCAAAACAAGATCAAGAAGGTTTTCCAGCGATCCTGCCTCTGCCTTCAATTTGGATGCACAGGTACCACAGCAAGCTTCCAATTCCAGATAGAAACTCTCTGTGGGACCCAGAAGCAGGGAGTCACCCCTTTGGGGCCCATAACACCCAGCTGTGGCCCAGACTCCTGTCCAGAGGAGATCGTGTTGAGAGCCCAAAGGGAGAGTGAGGCAGAGATGCCTGAGCAGGACAAGGAACCGAATCCAAGAGAATCCTGATGATAAAAAGAGGGGCCCCAAGGGCACCAGGGATGCACGGTCTGCATTCAGGCCCCTACAAGATAATGGATGCCCCTTGCTCTTAGTGAGCAGGCCCAGGCCTCTGCAGAGAGACCTCCATGGCCAGAGCTCAGAAGTTAGATATGAACAGAGATCCCAGACTTGCAGGATGAGCCCCTGCCCCCAAAGAAATGCCATTTGCAGCTCCTACAGCTGCACTAGAGGCTTCCAGTGGCTCCAGAAAAGGAGGGGGCAGCCTCATCCCACTGCCATGCCGAGTTGGCAGCTAGAAGACGACGCTCAGAGCCTAGCTCTCCAGAGTTGAAGCATCCGAAAGTACCCCACTGTTCACAGAAGGGGCTACCTGGGCACTCTTTGCCCCTTATACCTGTCCCAGCCCAAGTGCCCAGGCCTGGGCCTCTGCAGAGAGACCTCCATGCCCAGAGCTCAGAAATTAAATATGAACAGAGATCCCAGACTTGCAGGAGGAGCCCCTGCCCCAAAGAAATTCCATTTCCAGCTCCTACACCTGAACGGGAGGCTTCCCGTGGCTAAAGAGGAGGAGAGGGCCAGCCTCAACCCACTGCCATGTGACCATGTCAGAAGTCACATATGACCAGAAATCCCTGCCTTCTGGGATGAGCCCTGGCCCCCCCAAACACGGCCATTTCCAGCTCCTACAGCACAAGAGGCTTCCCGGGGCTAAAGAGGAGGAGGGGGCCAGCCTCATCCCACTGCCATGCCGAGTTGCCAGCTAAAAGATGACCCTCAGAGCCTAGCTCTCGAGATTTGAAGCATCTGAAACTACCCCACTGTTCCCAGAAGGGGCTACCTGGGCACTCTGTGCCCCTTATCCCTGTCCCAGCCCGAGTGCCAAAAACCTACCAGAAGGGCTCAGTTGCCGGGACCCTGCTCTCCCCATCCCGCAGGTCACTTTGCTTGTGGGATCTCCTCCCTGCTCCTGCCCCTAGGTCGAGTGGCAGGTCATCCTACAAGTGCCCGGACAATTGGAATCAGCCCGGACACTACCTCATCCCACTGCCATGTGACCCTCAGTTCCTCAGAGACAGTGAGTGAGCTCAACTCTCAGGCTGTCATTCACGCTCAGCGTGAAAAGGCAGCAGATGCACTACCAGGGGAGAAACTGGCCACCAGGAATGGCTCCCCAACATCTCAAAAGTCTAGGCCTCGTAGAAAGAAGTATCCTCTGCTGCCATGCAGCGGAGGGGAGCCTCTGATGCAGCCCCCTCCCTTACAGCTGGGGTTCCGGATCACTGCTGAAGACCAAGACCTGGAGAAGGAGGCGACACTCTGGGGCATTAATAGTGCACTGCAGGGTGAGGTCAAGGCCATATGGGACTGTAGAGCCTCACAGCCTTCATAAGCTTTGTCCTCACCTGCAACAGGGACTTCTTGTCCGTCTGCTGTCCCTGAAACACCCAGCATGGATGCACATCAGCAGACTCACAAGTCCCAACAGTACCTGGGCCACCTGTCCCTCCTAGCATCTGCTGCAGGGGACCCCTCTAGACCTGCTGTGTCTGGGAGGAAGCGCCGCTCATCAGGCCCCTTGTTCTCCTAAGATCCCCTTCCTGACACCCCTTCACACCCCCGGGACACAGCCCAGGTCACCTCGCTGATTCCTGCCCCCTTCCCAGCTCCACGTGCGGACTGCAGCCTGAGAAGCCCAAGGCCTGGCACTTCTGCTGCTGCAGCTGCCGCAGGGGCCCTTACCCCCTCTACATGGAACCCTTCATGGGGGGTCCCACCGAGTGGAGGGCAAAGAGGCCCCTCACATCCCTGGGCCTCAGCCACAGCTGCAGCAGGTGCCCAGTCTGCCTTTCCTGCCTCTCCCAGCAGCAAAAGGATGAAATCCCCAACCCCAATGTGTGTGCATTTCCCTGTCCCCTTCACACAGGGACCCCTTGTTTCCACTGACCCTCTCTCTCCTGGTCTGCAGATTGCTGTATCTGGATCTGGTTCCAGTTCTGCAGCCAGCACATCTGCTAACCTGGCACCCAAGGCAGCAAGTGACTCTGAGGTTACCCCCTTAGATACAGTCCCTTTTCCCAGCCTCTCTTTCTGGGGCCTCCTGCAGGCTCCAGTGTAAGCTTCCTCCAATCTCCTCAGGCCCATCTGATGCGCCTCAGGCACAGCACGTCCTCAGGAAAGGACACCAGCAGCCCAGCAGGATGAAGGGTCTGTGGTCCCACTCCAGTACCAAAACTTCCTATTACCGCAGTAGCCACAGTCCAGCCCAAACTTGTGGTCCTTCATGGGCAACAGCAGGGAACCCGCACCTCGAAGCACTCTCTTTTGTCTTCCCATCTGGCAGCTCCAGCTGCAGCCCCAGCCTCATCTGCTCCAAGACAGCCAGCCCAGGGCACCACAGCACACTCAGCTGCAGGGGTCTCATTACCCACCACTTGCACCTTGGGTCTCCCGGCCAGAAGCAAGTGGGCCTGGCTGCCGGCTCAGCTGGGTCCCTTCCCGAGGCATCCGCTGCCTCTGCCTGTGAGGTGCATGCTGCCTCCTCACATGGTGCCTCTGCCAAAACTAGGTGGCTCTGCGAAATGTTGAAAGCAGGGCCCAGCCCCCTCGACACTGGTGGTTTCTGCAACACAAACGGGTCTGGGGAGCAGAGAGGCAGCCCCAGCTCTGAGTTCCAGAAATGCATCCCTCAGCAGCAAAGTGGCAAAGAGAAAGGCCCTGAGCACCACACACAGCAAGGGGGTTTGAGGGGGCCTGAACACCAGGGGACCCCCAACCAGGCAGAGCACCCACATGGTGACCGGGAGAGGCAATACAAGGAGCAATTCTATTGGCTGGCACTTTTGTCTTTCCTTTCTGTCGTATTTCTGGGGGACCATTTAAGCAGTCACCCCCGATTGCAAGGCAGGGACCCAGTGCCACTGCAAAACAAGGCAGGCTTTGGGTGCAAGTCTGGGCCGGCTTCTGACCCTGGCAACCCCACTGCCCACGTGGGCACAGCAAGGAGGAACCTGGCCTGTAAGGCTTCCTCGTGCGCTGTCCAGGGTTCTGCTGGACACGGGTCTGCTGGGCCATCCTCCAGCTCATCCTTTTTTAGGTCGGGCTTTTGAGGTCTTCCTCATCGATTCCTTGCCTGGAGTGAAGTCCACAAGAGTTTTATCTTGGTTTTCCTCTAACATTTTTGTAGTTTCATATCTTACATTCAAGTCTTGGATGTATCCAGAGGTGATGTTTGTATATGGTGAGAGATAGGGGTCCAGTTTCATTCTTCTGCATGCGGCTATCCAGCCCTCCCAGTGCCATTCATTGAAGAGGGCATCCTTTCCTCTGAGTGTGTTTCTGTCGGCTCTGTTGAAGATCAATTGGCTGTGAATATGTGGCTGTCTTTCTGGGCTCTCTCATATGTGTGTCCCATTAATCTGTGTGTCTATTTTCATGCTATGATCATGCTGCCACTCAGCCCTTTCTCAGGGATGTCCAGAGCTACAACAACTAGGTATTTTACTGAGCTCCTGTGCCCTTATACTATTCAAGCAACATATCTAAACTGATCAAAGAGTAGTGGATGCTGAGAAAGGAGACCCGCGTTCCAGCCCCACTGTTCACTCCACCAGCCTCATGACCCATGTAGACGAAGCAGCCTGGGGGCTCCAGGCCTCCTCCTCTGCAGGAGACGGGGTGGGAGGCAGTTATCTGCAGGCCCAGCTGTCTCTACGTGCACCATCAAGAATGAGATCGTTGAGGTCACAGCTGCTGCAGAAGCTGGGAAATGGCACCTCTTATGGATCTGGGGACTTAGTCAATACCGGTCTCTCTGCAGTCTTTCCCCCACTCCCAGAAGGGCAGGGCCAAATGGCTAAGTGACTCACGAAGCAGCTCTCCAAGGAGGAAACACAATGCAAACCAAAACCCTCTCCAACGCACGGCAACACACAATACAAACCCAACACCCTGAGACAAGTAGGCAAGACCCTGCAGTACCTGTCCCAGCCCTACCTGCAGAGCCCCAGGCTTCCGGAAGCCAAGAGGGTCGAGGGAACTCATTCCAACTTCTGCCTGAAAATACTATGGAAACTACCAAGTAAATGTAAGTGATAACAAAGGCAGACAAAAAACCCTTTCAAGTCTCTTTCCAAACACCTCCGGCAAAATAGGCTGCTTCTTTTGATGTCGGGGGTGGGTAAGATTCTTAGGAACACGGAGATAAAATCTCTTAGACGTGTCACCTCATAGCCCTGAATTCCAAGAGATTCCTAAAATTCGGCAGCATTGCCTTTGGGGGAAGCCCTCAGGAAGCCCCGGAAGGTTTAGATTCTCTCCAGTGGAACATCCCGTGACCGCTGGCAGGCTGGGCCCTTATGGAATCAGCCCCTCACCTCGTTCCAGTTTGGCTCAGCTGTGTCCCTGTAGACGCGCATCTTTGCTTTATTCACAAAATATACAAAGGAATCCACCTCCAGGGTGCAGTACAGATCTGTGGGAGAAAGGGACATGGAGAAGGTGGCAGCTCTTTTCCACATCACCCACATGGTCTATAAGAGCAGGTGTTACTTGAAGAATCTGGAAAAAACAAAGGTTTTAGCTTTCTTTTAAAAAATAAAACACCAAATGGGGTTCTGGCATGAACACCAGCACCTCATGCTATACTCCTGCCTGATCTGTAAAATTCCCCTGGGTGCAGCTGGGAAACGGGGCCTCCCACAACATTCATTCATGCAGTCAGTCCACAAACCACAGCTAAAGCCCCTACAATGAGAAGGGCCCTGCAGTGGTGGGGACAGAGAGGCGTACACGCCATCGTTACACAGGGGATGTGAGCCATAGAGACACCATGGCAGAGGCCAGCCATCCTGGGGGATGTGGGAAGCTCCTAGAACCAGAGCAGAGCCCGCTGTAAGTATTACCGGGCAAAGAGCGAAGGCAAAGGGCACCCCAGGCCACTGTGGGGCACGGGAAGCAGCTTGGTGCTGGGGAAGCCGTGGGGTGCAGGAAGAAGGGAGGGAGACAAGGCTGGGGGAGAGCGGGGCTGGGCTGTGGGCAGTAAGTGGCAGGGTGGGGTTTGTATTTTAGAAAAACCACCTGAGTGGCTGACGTCTGTAATCCCAGCACTTTGGGAGGCCAAGGCGGGTGGATCACCTGCGGTTGGGAGTTCAAGGCCAGTCTGACCAACAGGGAGAAACCCCATCTCTACTAAAAATACAAAATTAGCTGGGTGTGGTGGCACGTGTCTGTAATCTCAGCTACTCGGGAGGCTGAGGCAAGAGAATCACCTGAACCCAGGAGATGGAGGTTGCGGTGAGCTGAGATAGTGCCATTGTACTCCATCCTGGGCAGTAAGAACGAAACTCTATCTCAGAAAAAAGAAAAACCACCCGAGAAGGGGGGTGGAGAGGCCTCGTGGTGGGGACCCTTTCTGCAGTGACATCCAGAGCTACAACCAGGGAGGAGGCCACAGCCAGGGCCTGGCCAGGCAGCCAGACACGATCAAGAAACCTCACTGATGGAGAACGGCATTTAACAGAGGGAAAGCGGATGGCAGTTTCTGGTGTGGCCACGGGGTGGATGGTGGTGCCCCTCAAAGGAACAGGACATAAGAGGAACAAGTTTGGGGGCCGTGAATAATAGGTTTCCTTTGGGGATGCAAGGCTGAGTTCATGGGACATTGAAGAGATAGAAAGAAAGGTAACAGGGAGGCAAAAAGAGATAAGCCCAGGACCCCAGGGCAGCGTATAGTATCATCCTGCACTGCTCACAGACAGGACCCGGGAGGAGAGGCAGGGATGGAGGAAGGCCCATGAGGAAAACACCAGCGTCTATGAGGCCGCCAGAGACGGGGTCCAGGGGAAAGTTGATGTATGTTACAATGCTATGGAGGTGTAATCTGCATGTCATATAATTCATTCATTCCAAGTGTAGGGTTTGAGGATTTTTAGCAAATTTAAACACCAGGGCAAACAGCACCCCAATCTTTTCACGACACTGCTCTCAGCTAAAAAGTCCCCTTGGGTTCGTCCGCAGTAAGTTCTTTCTCCCAACCCCATCCCTCAACGATCACTGGTAAGCTTTCTGTCTCCACATTTTGCTGTTTCTAGAAACTTTTTTTTTTTTGAGATGGAGTCTTGCTCCGTCACCCAAGATGGAATGCAGTGGCACAATCTGGGCTCACTATAATCTCCGCCTCGTGGGTTCAAGTGATTATCCCGTCTCAGCCTCTCAAGTAGCTGGGATTACAAGTGCCCACCAGCTCACCTGGCTAATCTTTGTATTTTTAGTAGACACGGGATTTCACCATGTTGGGTCAGGCTGGTCTCAAACTCCTGAGCTCAAGTGATCTGCCTGCCTCGGCTTCCCAAAGTGATGGGATTACAGGCATAAACCACCACTCCTGGCTTCTAGAAACTTATATAGTGCAACTGATATGTTACCTAGTCTTCACCGTTCTGACGGCTCCAGCAGCTGGGGGAGAACGCCACTTAGAGGGCAAGGTAAAAAAGAGTATTGGGGGCCGGGCACAATGGCTCATGCCTGTAAGTCCAGCACTTTGGGAGGCCAAGGCTGGCAGACCACAAGGTCAGGAGTTCAAGACCAAGCCTGGCCAGCATGGTCCCCATCTCTACTAAAGATACAAACCATCAGCCAGGTGTGGTGACACGTGCCTGTAATCCCAGCTACTTGGCAGGCTGAGGCAGAACTGCTTGAACCTGGGAGGTGGAGGTTGCAGTGAGCCGATATAGCAATGTTGCACTCCAGCCTGGGTGACAGGATGAGACCTCGTCTCAGAAAATAAAAGAAAAAAGAGTATTATTCATCCAGCTTGACAGAGCAGCCAAATCTGCTCTGCTGTGGGGTGAAGGTTTACTGTTTGCCGACTGCCCTCCTGGCTTGGACCCAAGACTCCTGGGCATTCCAGCTACTGCCTGTCAAACTCCTTGTCAAACCCCTGCGATCACACAATCCACCTGCAAGGGTCAGCTCACCGGCTCCCAGGATCTGAGACAGGCTTGGGAGACGGCAGAGGCCACTCCGGGAAAAACAATTCCACACCCAGAAGGCATCAACCAGCACCAACGCTCCACTGCAGCCAGTGATCAAAGGTGTCCCGTGGTCATTTGAACAACCTCCCTGCTTCCCCACACCCTGGCCGATTAGTCCTTCCTGGGTGGAGAACCTGGCTCGGTCCGTGCAACCTTCCTCCCCACACCAGTACTTACTTGAACTCTGCTTAAATCCAGTGGCTGAGTGGACGATGACATTCAGAAACCCATAGAGCCCCGGAGACCCATCATCTGTACAAGAGACCAAAGAGGTAAGCGTCTGTTGTGCCGGGAAAGGGAGGCAGGTTACAGGCTAACTCTGCTTCAGAATCAACCATCCCGGAGACAGCGTAGCTGCCATCTGCCCAGCACAAGGCAAGCCAGTGTCACGGGCCAAAAGCATACCCATCATGATTTCTGTCTTGGGGATCTCAGGGTCCAGTTGGGTTCCAGGGACCCAAAGTGTAATAATGTTCCAAAGACACAGAGGGGGTCGGGGTGATATGGACGTGGATGGGGTGTGCATAGCATGTGCTGTGTGTGTGACTGAGCATATGTGCAACAGTGAATGCAAAACTCGGCTTGACCCAAAGTGCCAACCAGCAAGTAGTTGGAGGAGGGAGGGCTGGGAGGATGGGAGTGGGGTCGGATCAAGGCATGGAGCACTGGAGGAGCGTCCACTGTAGCTCTCGTGACTAGGAAGGTGATTAGCCGAGTGTCTCCTCAACCACCCAGCAGTAGCCACTCAGGGAAAAACCGCTCCTAACCCATCTCATCCACTCCTGGGAGGAGACAAGAGGCCCTAACAAGCACACCTCTTCCCTCCAAACCAAAGTCCATTAGTCCCAACAGGAAGTGGGGGTCAGCCCCCGGGCCAACTGCCTGCCCTCCCTGCAGGTGCCCTGTGCACAGGAGGATGGGCCCACCTTCCCTGCTGATGGTCAGTGGAATGCTATGGACCGTCTGCAGTTTGACACATGAGTTGGTCAGCATCTGCAGCTCCACAGATGTCAGGGAGAAGCTTTTGAAACCTGGGAGGTTGGAAGAGAGGTGCACCAATTGGTCAGTGCGCTCCTTGGCCCTCCGGCCCCTCCCCCCACACCACATCCCGGAGACAGCGTAGCTGCCATCTGCCCAGCACAAGGCAAGCCAGTGTCACGGGCCAAAAGCATACCCATCATGATTTCTGTCTTGGGGATCTCAGGGTCCAGTTGGGTTCCAGGGACCCAAAGTGTCCCTGGAAGGAGCATGGCAAGAACTAGTGCCAGGACTTGGATGCTCAGGAGAGGGCACTTGGCTCCCAAGTGCAATACCGGTCTGGCAGCAGAGCAAGGTGTGGCTCTGGAAGGCCCAGGCCTGGAGGAGTCTTGGCGTGAGACTCACAAACACACGTCACGCACTACCTATGCTCAGCCACAAGGCAGGTCTGAGAAGAAGCGGCTGGTCGGGGACCACCTCCCTGTGAGGTCTCCCCAGACAGACAGCAGCCACAGGTCTGCCCCCATTTCTTTACTGGGTGAGGAAAAGGGGCTTATTTCTGGGCATAACGCTGAACAGGGAATAGATGCTGCCACTCTAGAAATGGCTGGGGCTCCCATGTTATGACAGGGAGCCGGGGCCAGGAGCACTGGCAGGTCTGCTCGGAGCTCCTTGTTGCCCCAGACCATGGGGTCAATGGGGACTGAGACGTGGCTCTGCATAGGTGAGAAGGATAAGCCTGAGGGGATGAGAGGTCAGACCAGGTCAGAGGTGCACAGAGCCCCTGCCCAGTATCCCTGTGAAAAACGATGCTTTGCAGGTAATGGCCCACAGCTGTGGGAGGACCGGGCCACCTGGATATGGTGCTCAGCCCAGATCCCCCACAAGAGGGACAGTGGCATACAGAGTGCCAGTGGGAACATCTAGGTAAGGGTGGCACGTCAATCCCAAACCTCCAAGGAGGAAACTGGGTGTGCCTCCCGCCCCCGGCCCCTGCCGAACACAGGACAGAAGGAAGGAGTGCCCTGACAGAGGGAAGTGCCCAGAGAAGGAAGGGGCTGCCCCAGAGGGAGGGAGCACCCCTGTGCTGACAGCAGGCAGCTGGGCCATGTGGACAGGGCAGTGGGGCCAGCGCAGTGTGGCTACCCAAGTGGGCCCAGCCAAGGACCCCTTTAGCACCTGCTGGGGCAGGGAAGGCCTGGGGGAGTACGGGGCAGATGAGGGGAAATGGGGGAGGCCAAGAAAATGGGGTGGTGGCAGGGTCCTAGAAAGGCCTAGGGGGCAGGCCACGGGGTGGGGTGTATGTGCAGCAGGCTGGGGAAATGAATGCCCAGGGAATGGGGGCAGGATAGGTTCGGGGTGTGTCCAAGTGAAAACTCGGTGCCATTAGACGGTCAGGAGTGGAGAGACAAGATGGCTGGGAGGCCTACGGGGATGGCCGTCTCCAACTTGTTTTCTAAATGAGCCCTCCACGTAACACTTCACTTGATAAAACCCCTCAAAACAAAAAAGAAAGTTTCAAACCATAGGAGCTGCCAGCCTGGCCCTGGTGTTTCAAAGCCCAGCCCTCTCAGGACAGAGGACACTCACACTTCTTCTGCTGCTCCCGGATATTCTCCCTCCACTCTGCACGCTCATAGCCAGAGGAGATCAGGAATGTGTAACTCTAGGGTGGGCGAGACGAACAAACCCAGTTACCTCCACCCTGGCTCTGCGAATGCCCGGCAGGCCTGGGGCACCTTGGAGCATGCAACCCACACCTCCAGCTGGCTGGAGCCCAGTGGCCAGGTGTGCTCACAGCCCGGCATGTCGCTTCTGGCACTCCCTGCCCTTCTTGCCAGCTGGGTGTCACAGCACCTCTGGCAGAAGCTCTCACCTGAACTGCACTTGTCAGGGTGTGATGCCAGCAGAAGGGCACAGCTAAGAGACATGAAGGTGACCAGGTGGGAACTGCAGAGGTGGTTGATCTAGACCTGACCCCCTGCATTCAACCCACAAGCCTCACACTAGCCCAGAGACGAGGCTTCTGCAGAGCCCACCAGCTGCCTTTCCTGGCCAGTCTAGAAAACAAGCCATTTTGCACGTTGACAGGTGCGTGTCATGCCCCTGGAAGGAGACGCCCAGGCTACAGACGGCACCAGGAGCCAGACTCAGGACAGAAGGTGCATCTCTGGCCCTCAAGGCCCTGGGGCATCATCCCTGTACCAAGGACCAGGTCTGCACAAACCTGCTAGGCCCCCCTGTCCTATACCCTCCTTGGAGACCCAGCACACTCCCAGCTGTGGGAGCTGAGCCAGCTGCCACTCAACCCGAGGGCTATGACCCAAAACCCCAGAAAAAGGAACCAGTGTGCTTGCATGCAGCATGCTGGACAAGCCTCTCGGCGCAGAGTGCATCCAAGTGAAAATGCGCTGCCATGAGAGTCAAGAGCCCATCCCAGGCTAGAAGAGCGGAAGGGGCCGGCGTGGCGGGCGCTCACCTTGCTGTTACGGCTGTGCACCCTGAAGGCCATGCTGGGAGACATGAGCAGCAGCAGCGACTCCTGCTCTGACAGCTTCTTCTTCAGCCTCTCTGTGGCCTTGCTGCCCTTGTTCGCCCTCTGCGGGGAGATACCACAACCTCACCTTCGCATTCCAGCGCCCCATACAACTCACTCCCGCTCCATCCACCACCACCACAGCGGTGTTCAGCCTGCAGAGGGCGAGAATCCTGTGTCTCCACTCAGCACAGCCCAGGGCCCCAGACTGCTGCTGGCGGTGGCCTTTGGAGGACAGAGCAGCCTTGCAGCCTTTCAACAGGGTCAAGGCCAGGCACAGGCTGCGGGACATGCTTGGAACCTTTCTTGGAGGAACGAGATCTTTCCTCTCATAAGGGTGGAGAGAAGAGACTTACAAACAACCCAGCCTTTCATTTTCTCCCCAATTCAGACAATGTCCAGGGGGCTGTTGCGACCTGAAGGGTCTGTCACCCGCTTCCTAATCCAGGTAGATTTCCACAGGCCCACTGGGCATATTTGTGGAGGTTTCAGCAGAAGGGCAGACGACTCTCAACAGAACCTGGACAGGTGAGCCCTTCCTATGCTGAGCTGTGTGGATCCCTCTAGAAGCCACTATCCCTGGGGAGAAAATGTGCTGCCTGTCACCAGATAGGGCTCAATCCCATCCCCCAGAGAGCTGAACATGGAGAGTGCAACAGTCACACTCAACAGGCGTCAGCTGCCCTCAGGGCACGGCACTGGCTCCGACTCTGCATGGGGACAGCCCACCACAGAGGTCACGGCCCTCCTGCAGCACAATACAATGTTCACCCCAGTCTTGAAGCTGCCCTGTGCTCCTAAGTGTGCTGAATCTGGGTGCAGCAGGCTGCGCAGCTGGACAAGGGCTGAGGACTCCTGTCCCGCTGTGTCCACCCTACCTGGGCGTCCCTGGGCCCAGGCCCAACCTTTTTGCCACCCACTTCCTCTGGCCTAGCTAACCAGATTGAGGGGCTTGTCCTCACCATTTTTACAGTCTTCAAACATCTCTGGAGAAAACTAAGTGCCTGTAGTCCCAAACACCTGGAGGGGTGGCACCCCCACCTGGGCCTGGCCCCCATCAGGGTAGCTGTACAGGGGACAAGCAGCCCCTCCCCTAGGCCCCGCATCCTGAACCATTCCAAGCCCTCCAGCATCTGGCTGTCACTTTCTCCAGTCACTTGGTACTTTACCCACAAAATGGAACCACACAGCAAAGGACGCTGCCTGGGCATCAGAAGACCACACACTTGAACTCAAGCCAGTGGCCAGAGGTGAGAACCCAGAAGCCTCTCTCCCGCCTGCCTGGCTGACTGAGCTCCTGCATTCTTGCTGCCTCCTTAAAAGGACCATCCAGGCATTTGCCTGTGAACTTAAAGTGTCCACACCCTGTTCCCTTAGAAATACTGTTAGCTGTCATGCGTGCTGTCTCTCTCTCTCTCTCTGACTCTTCACTTGTGCCTCGTGTGATTTAGGGACAGAGGACTGCCCACCCTCCTCATGGCACCTCCTTGTCCAAAACCTGTAGGTAAAAAATCTCGGAACTAGTTTCCCATGCTGGTGGTGTGTTTCCGAAAAGCTAGGCAGTGTTTTCCTAGGTCAGGTTTTCCCAGGGATGCCGGCGAAAACAGAAGATCAGGCTCCCAGTGCCATAGCAATGGCCAGGCAGGCATAAACTAGACATGGTTTAAACTTGCCAGTGTAAACAAGTTTCCCTCGTGAGGGACCCCTGATCACAGATGAGATAACTAAGCATGAGGCCGTCCACCAGGTATAAGAAGTATCCCGTGAAAGGCACACTGTAGAGACCACGACCAGTTCCCTTAGTTTTTCTGGAAGGCTGGGTTGGCAGCCCCTCTGGTATGGTGCTCCGCATTAAGCCGGGGGTTCTCAGAACAATCGGGCACCTAGCTGTGCCCAGATGCCCAGCCCTCCAAGACCTGAGAGCTCATATATGTCCCAGAGACCAGACTTGGGGCTCAGAGGCCTGACAGAGAGAGCACCCACTGGCTGTGTGTGGGGGCTGCTGCCCAGCAAGACCACACGGAGCCAGGCCCTTGTTTCCCCCACCTGCCCCCCGCCATGCACCTTCTCTCTCTGAATGTCACTCTTGATCTGGGAGATCTTGATCTTCAGAGCGTCCAGCTCCTCGTCCGGCACCAGGGGGATGTTGGGCACTGCCTCCGATTCGTCCACCATCTGGAAGCTGAGATCCGTGAGCGGAATGTACCATTTGCAGTCATACTGCTGGGTTTTGCTGGGGGTGGGGAGAGAAGGACGCTGACATGCACCAACTACCTTCCACGGCTGATGTCACTGCTGCCAAGAACCCAAGAGCCCGTGTTCCTGACCACACACGGCTCACCCGACCGAATCCCAGCACGCGTTCCATGGAACCGACTGGGATGAAGCCACTGGCAGGCGCTGGTGGCCCCGGCCTCAGCCTCAGTGATTCCTGGGAACAGACACTCTGAACACGTGACCCCAGGCCCCAGGCCTCTCAGGAGTCTAGATGCATCTTATCCTATGCTGACCCTAAGGTGGAGGGCTCATGTGGGAGCACGTCAAGGCTGCACAATGACAGGACAGGGCTGAAGTCCAACCCCAGGGCTGTAAGAGTTTCAACGACTGTAGATAAAGCTGGCGTCATCCCCTCGCCTGACAGATGGGAGAACGAAGTCTCTCCTCTGAGTTGACTGATTCAACCCACTCAGCAGGGCAGGATGAGGGGAAGAGCCTGTGCTGGTCTTCCCAGTGTGGCCTTTGCTCCACTCCAACCTGGTGCGACCTGGGTGAACCCAATCACTGGAGGGAGGAGGGGAGTGTGTGCAGGGGTACGCTGAGAATAACTCAGGAGCCACCACCCAGCTCTGCCTGCAGCCCCTGACCTCAAGCGGTCCTGAGGTGGCCTTTCCGCAATGGTCCTGGAAGTCATGGTCGGGTTTACCCCTCACTACAGGAGTCAAAGCTGGTCCCCAGGATGCTCCATGACGTCTCCTGCTAGTGACAATCTTTAACCTGGAGCCTAACATTGAGCCCAAGTAGCAACGGAATGTAAAAAGAGCACCTAGCTACATTGCTGCTGGCCTCCGCCATGACGGACCCTCCACGCCCTGGAGCGTCAGCACAGACAGGGTCACCGCCGGGACGGGACCCCATCGTTACTCACCCTCCGCTCTGCTTCTTGAGCTTGGTGCAGAGAAGCAGGTCGGTGAAGAGGAAGACATGGCGCAGCTTGCGGGCCCCCTCCACCAGCTCCACCATGAAGCTGTCCTTCAGCAGCTGCCGGTGCTGCGGGCACAGGGAAGGCTGGGGTCAGGGCCAGCCTGGGGTGATGGGTGGGGTGCATTCGGCCCTCCCAGCCCAGCAGGAGCAGGTTGACCCAGGGACGTTCTCTCTGGGAAGATTTCACTCCTTCCACATCTGACCCTCACACTCACTTTCCAGAACGTTTTGTTCATCTCACGGTCCTGCTGACAGATCAGGGCTTACGTGTAACTTCTCTGTTCAACAAATTTCCCAGTCCCTCCTGTGTGCTCAGCCTTTAGAAGAGAGTGGGAGGATGGGGGAGGGGGGAGGTAACGACTGTGGGTCTGTAGAGGCACACAGCCAAGCAAACGGTCTGCTGTGAAGATGGGTGATGGAACGACCCACTTTAAACAGGGCAGCCAGTGCCTCTCTGGGGTGGCAGGTGGAGCTCTAGAACTGGCAAGAAGCCAGCGTGCCAGGAGCAGGTCTTTCTGTAGAGGGACCATGTCAGGCACAGGCCCTGTGGTGGGAAGAGCTTGGGGCTGGAGGTTCAGTGTGGTCTGTGGGTGGAGATGGGCCCGGTGCACTCTGGAAGTGGCAGCCCTCGAGGTCACGGCAAAGGGTCGGGCCTGGTTCTGAGGGCAGCAGGAACCGGGGCCCCATACCTTGAACTCCTAGTCCTCCCAACTAGACAGGATGTGCAGGGTCCCAGGTGTGCAGGGGCCACACCTCTGACACCTGCCTGGACATCCGCAGCCTGAGAGCAGGGTTAAAGTGGCGCGCAGGTGGGGAGTGCAGGGCAGGGGCACAGGCTCCTAAGAAACCATGCCCCTTTCTGCCTCTTGTTCTGTATCTGAAAGGCAAGGGTTGGTCCTTCTTGCTCAAGAGGCTCCTCAATGGGCATGTCTAGGTTATGTCACCCCTGCCTGGTACCTCACAGCGTTGGGCACTGGATGAGAGGCTGTCGCAGCAGGCTTCCCCATGCCGGGACCAGAGCACTGCATGAGGACGTCGCCTGAACTATTTGATCCAATCCCTACAACAGCCTGGAGGCAGTTCCTTAATGAGAAAACTGAGCTTCAGCGAGGCCCACACTCTGTCCCAGGCAGCAGAGAGCAAGCGGCAGCATTCACAGGTCTCTACACTCAGGAGCCCACAACCTCATGGGAGAAAGACCAAGTGTTTGGCGGGCACCCAGCCCCCTGGTCTCAGGGAAGGCTCACAGGGAGGATGACCCCCGCCCTGTGCTGAGAGCCGGAGGGTCTGCAGGGGAGTCACATGCAACAGAGGGTATGAAAATTCAGTGTTTCCACACAGGAGCTGCACCTGTCCCCATCTCGAGAAGTGATGAGGTCCTGTGCTCTGGGTGAGCCAGGCTGGTTCTGGGGCCAGACCAGGCGCCACACACTGCTGTCCTGCAGCCTGAGGTTCTTCTCAGGGAGCCTCTGTCTCTCTCAACTCTCCTGTACTCTGAGGCTGGAGGCAGCAGAGCTCCCCATTCGCATGTACAGTCGGTGCCAGGCCTCCGACACTCTCAGGGGTGGAGGCTGCATGTCACCATCATAAGCAGCTTGGCTCACGACAGCCAGCCGGCTCTGGTGAGGGGGAACAATGACTTATGTAGGGGTCGCTGGTGCCCATAAGTGGAAGGCTAGGAAGGTTGCCGGAGTGCCAAGGCCGTGACTCATAGGCACTCACTCACACTCCGCCTGCCGAGGGCAGACGGCCGCGTGGTGACGGCACCCACAGGAAGCAAGAAACAGCATGTGCCCCTGGAGAAATGTCAGGCAGCGCTGGAGCGCTGAAGCCGGGTAATCCCCACTGCTGGGTCTGCAGCGGGGACCAGGTCTGGGTAGGATCCTAGGACACTGAGGTCCTTAGAGAAGGACTACAGGATGTCTGCTTGGCAGGGACACAAGAAAGAGCCTCCCTGCTAAGGAGGAATGGTCTCAGGCACCTTCCCTGTGGGGCACTGATGGGGCTGGATGGCCAGCAGCCTTCTCCATACAAAGGCGCTGAGCTTCTCGCCATCACCAGCAGAGGGCACCCCATGCTCAGCTCAGAAGCCGCAGACCCGGCCCACTCTGCCTTGTGTGCCAGAAATGCAGCTGCCTCTCCAGCAGAGGTTTCCCACAGCCCACCTCAGGGGCACCTTCGGGCTTCAGCAAGGCCACTGGACGCCTGTAGCACCCACATGCCAGCCTGCCACACTGAGAGGACCAGGCCTGGCTATGGGGAGGACGTGGCCCCTCTGGGTGTGGACTGCAGACCTGGGAGGCTTGGACAGCGAACTCAGATGATTCTGGGCTACTCTTTTGATGTCACCACAGCCTCCAAACCCTCACCCACCCATGCAGCTCTCCCCTGAGAGAAACCCTAATCCATAGGCACCCCAGCATGTCGCAGCACCTCAGACCCTGCTCTGCAGTCCCCATCACCCAGTCCCTGCCCTCCCAGTCCACACAACACCAGCACGGAGCTGGGAGGCCATGTGGCGTAGGTCACTGCCTGCCCAGGAGACGTCCCTCTCAGAAGTGCTCAGCAGCCTGGTATCCGGCTCAGAGTACAGGATGCTCAGCCTTGAAATCAGCCCAGGCTTCCCCGCACAGTCCTCCGGACTCACATCCTCCAGGGCACATGGCAAGGGTGGGCCGGGGCCACAGTCCTGACTGCATCCCAAAGCCAGCATAAGGCCACGTGGCTGGAAACCACTGTCCCTATGGCTCAGTGTCTCTCCAGGGCAAACACCCGCAGCTGGAGCAGGGGGACAGAGAGGGCCGGGGCCTCACTGGGACCTGGGACAGCACCACGGTTTGGAGAGCTGGCTTGCCGGGCTGCGGGAGCCTGTGTGTGAAAAGGGCGCATTGGAAGATCCCATGTGTGCCATTATGCCCAGCTAAATTTTTTTTTTTTTTTTGGTAGAGACAGGGGTCTCGCTATGTGGTCCAGGCTGGTCTTGAACTCCTGGCCTCAAGTGGTCCTCCCACCTAGACCTCCCAAAGAGCTGGGATTGCAGGTGTGAGCCCCTGCACCCGGCTCTGCCTTTAAAGGGAGGGAAATTCTGTTACATGCTACAACACGATGAACCTTGAAAACATGATGCTAAGTGAAATATGGCAGTCACAAAGTGCCACATGTTGTATGACTCCACTGATACTAAATGTCCAGAATACGTAAATCCATAAAAACAGAAGGTAGATCAGTGACTGCTTAATGGGCCATGGGGTTTCCTTCTGGGGTGACAAAAATGTTTTGGAACTAAATAGAGATATTGGTTACACAACACTGTGAATGCACTAAAAGCCACTGAATTGCTCACTTTAAAATGATTCATTTTACATTATGTGATTTTTACCTCATTTTTTTTTTTTAAAACTGACCTGTTTTCCTCTCTTAAGCAGGGAACCCGGAACATAATTCCGCTATTTCCCAAGGGCTGAGTATCCTTCCAGATGGACGTCAGTACAGCCTGACCATAATCCCAGGCCACCCACAGGCAGTGAGTGCTTTCAGAGACACAGTTGGTTCTGGTGGTTTTTCTACTTAATCCTCCTCTGCCAGTCTGGCAGCTGCCCCTTCTTGCATCCAAACAAGGGGCTCAAAATTCTTTTTTTTTTAGATGGAGATTTGCTGTTGTTACCCAGACTGGGGTGCAATGGCACGATCTCGGCTCACCGCAACCTCTGCCTTCTGGGTTCAAGGAATTCTCCTGCCTCAGCCTCCCGAGTAGCTGGGACTACAGGCGTGCACAACCATGCCCAGCTAATTTTTGTATTTTTAGTAGAGACGGGGTTTCACCTTGTTGATCAGGATGGTCTTGATCTCTTGACCTCGTGATCCACCTGCCTCGGCCTCCCAAAGTGCTGGGATTATAGGTGTGAACCACCGCGTGCGGCCTCAAAATTCTTTATAAATGAGATGTCCCCCATCCAGTTAGCCACTGCACCCTGGCTAAAGGCCTGCCCCCAGGGCCCTTGGTTCTGTGGTGGGAGGGTGCACAGAGAGCACCCTAGGATCCCGTGGCCTCCCAGCCCTCATGCTGTACCCCAACAATGACATCACCAGGCCAGCACCCAAGAACGAAAGCCTCAGCTGCCCAGATAGAGCTCAGGGTCATGAATCAGCATGTGCCACAAAGAAAGCCACCAGGCTAGCCAAGGCCCCCACCCCATAGGCTGGAAAATGTCAGTCGGGAAGGGCCTGAGCCTGCCCTGCTCCCTGATGCCGTGGCTCCCCAGGCAACCCTAGACACTGAGAACGAGAAACAGGTATTTACAGCTCTGAGCTTTCTTGGAGGAGAAAGCCCAACCCGTGCAACCAGCCTGATGGCTCTGCCCGCTTGAAGGCTGAGCTGGTTGGAGACTCAATCACCAGAAGGTCAACTTTGCTGGCAATTTTTTGGGGGGCACTAAAGACAGCTGTTTTCCTCTACAAACGGAGGGTGCCTCAGTATGGGCAGATGAGAACCCCGCCTCCTCTCCATCAGCATCCACAACACTGTTAAAGGACCCTCCCGAGTCTCCAAGGACCCAGCTGTGTCTAAGGCTCCCAGTCATTCCAGGAGGCAAAAATAATTTGATGCTCCAGGCTTTGATGCTCCTCCTGGTGCAGGCACAGGGCAGACAGAGGCTGAAATCCCAGCTGGGAAGAGGCAGCCGCCTTCGGCCCCAGAATGATATAGTTATTACTCCTCAGCAGCACCTGGGCTTTTTAGGACTCGGGGGCTCAGAAAGACTTCCTGGAGGCCCTGAAGATTTAGCCCCAGACAAATGTACTGAGTACCTAACACATCCAGGGCACTGTGCTGGGTATGCAATGGTGAGCACTGCACACCCAGCCCCTGCCCTCGGGAGCCAGTGGAATCCACCAAGTCACGTGACATGGGCATCACAGCAACCATGCCAACGCCACGGGAGAGGCAGCTGGCACCGGAGTACATGCAGGAGGGAGGCAGACAAACCCAGGCAGGACAGCAGGGCCTGTCACTGAGGAAATGACCACAGAGCCAGAACCTGAGAGAGGGGGAGGCACACACTGGCTCC